ATGTCTATGAGACAATGGGTACCTGCATACCTGGCTTCAGCTTCGTGTATGCATTCGAATCCGTACCCGGCCCCTCCCTTCGTCCCTCCTTCATCTCCAGTGGATATCATACCATCCCGTTGCCGCCATCCCCTTGCGCAGTCTTTATTTACATCTTGATGGCGTGCTACTCGTAAGCTGATGGCCAGGGATACTATGATATCTGACGATCGGTATGCATGTGCTACGAACCCGGCTGCCAAAGGAGTACGGGCAATCTGCAAATTGCATGCAACCTAAAGTCACGATCTCGAAGCCGAATAAACCCCTCGCCTTGGTTGCACGTTGGTGTCGATACCGACGTACCTTGCATATTATGGTCAGAGATATATTACTGAGCCGAGCCGGAAAAGCGGAGGCAGCGTCCGCATTTAGTATAAGCACCAACAAGCTGTTCCTGGTTCGTGTGTTAAGATACAATTTTCAACATCTCACCAACTTGCATTTGGTTGTTGATATCAATTGTATTCCATATGCATCTTATGCGCCCTTGCTAACCTAACAGACCCAAAATCTTAAAAAGAAAACTGGATAACGCAGCCGGGTATCATGTGTATCAATATTCCCACTCCACTAAGAAGCAACAGCTATCATGATATCAAGGACGTCCGGACACGTGGGATAACATGTCGAGTTCAGCTGTTAGATAGTGCTTATCACTTTCCGCTCGCGCGCCTACTCATCGTGACCTTCATCCCCGGGGGCCAGATCTTTTGACCGCCGCAGCGGCTCATATACGCCCATCCCCTCGCATCCAACCGGGACCCTCACGTCCATGTGCGCCCTTACATCCCAGGGAACGCTCTGCCACACGCAGCTCCTAACCTCAGCTCCAACTTGCATGATGCTATCTATAGCCCATATGCAATCCAGGTGCTCATACTCGGGGACGACCTTCGCATGCACCAGGTTCACGTCAGGCTCGGCGCCTCGCTTCAGCCGCCGCAGGAGCTTTATGCCGTCAACCAGTTTATCCGAGCCACAGATCCAGAGCGCCAAGGGCGGGAAGCTGGTGTCGAACCAGGCTCGCTCACGTCGTTGCTCCGAGGGCGTGCGGGCGTGGCACGGATGCTGCTGTGGTGATACATGTAGTTCAGACTGTGGTGCTGCCGCGCGCGACATGCATTCAGGCCGCTTTATAGCCGCTGGCGTTGCGCCGGGGTAGCTTCTGCTGCTGCTGCTGCTGTTGTTGTGCGGCGCGGGGTTGACATTTGCTTCTTCGCCGCCACGGCGCAATGCTGATATCTGCGGGGTATATATTGCGGGTTGCCCCTCACATGTATCGCGAGGTGATACGTTTATCTCCGCCGTTTTTTCATGTCGCTCCTGTTCGATATCCTCACAGAGATGCGGGGCGCCGCCGCCGTGTGAGATCTCCCCTATGGCTGACGTCTTTGTGGTAATTTTGGTCGTCGCCGTGATCTTTCCCATCCCGTCATCCATCACGAATCGAGTAGTTGCAACAGCTCTGGACTCCATCCGATGTTTCAAGCCGCCCGCATCCGATTCTCGGGCGGTCGCAGTCACGGTCCCTTCCATCCGCTGCTCCTCCTCCTCGACCTCATTCCGCGTCGCGAGTATGCATTTGTGGGTAGCAAACCCGTCGCGGCCAAGCCACCAGCGCATACTCTCGGAGCTTACATACACTATAGCAGCAATTCATCTCCCAAGATCAGCATTGCATTCATGACACACGGAAATGAAAAATTCACAAACGAAGGGTAAAAGCCATCATTCTCACCAGGCGAAAACATAAAGCCCCTGCTCCGCAACCTCCTTGACCATAGTTTATCCGACCATGAAAACAGGTACGTGAAGACCCGATACCCGAGCCAACCGTACAGTCGTCCAGGCACCAAACTGTGCATCGTGCCCATAAACGGGATGAATGAATGTATGCCGAAAACCACACGAAACATCCCCGCCGGTATCAGCTTCATGAACTTGAAATGCGCCGCCTTTATCAGTGGGCCCGAGTATACAGCGGGCGCGAGGGCGCAGAATATCGATATCTTGGATCCCAGCGTCGGATGCTGGTCCTTGGCCATCGCTACAAATGACTGCGTGGTGCCCTGCGAATGTGCTACGAGCGCCAGTTTAGGAAATCCCGTCGCGTGGAGAACGTGGTCAACAAAGGCCGGGAGGTCGAAGATCCCCATCTGTCGAATGTTCCAGCACCACATTCTCGGATCGGACGATTTGAGCGCCATATGTTTGGGCGCGTAGAAGCAGCGGTTGTTGCCAAGCCAGACGTCATAGCCGCTGTAAATTTTATATTAGAATGTCATATTTCCTTAATGTAATAAAAGATATAGATTGTATCCCGGGTAACGGTGATAGCGGGCATGCTTACCTCTTGCAAAGGTAGAATGCTAGAGAATTATCGTCATTTGAGCAGAATGCCCCGGCGCTTTGCAAAAGCCCGTGGATCAACAGCACCGGATATTTCTTCGTCGAATCCGTGTCATTTGGATCGAAAATGTGCTGAAGGGTAAGGATAAAGCCGTCCTCTGTCGCCACTTCGAATTCTCTCATGTCCAAACCGACCCGTCGCGCATAATATCCGACATTGCATTTCAGCTGTGCCTTGTCATACTTGCGCTCCTGTTCGTCAATTTCCCTGTCTAGTTGATGCTCCAGACCCTCCAATGGCCTGTCTGGTTTCTGATCTTGTGAGTGCATGATATTATGGATATTGACTCGGATGGTCTCAATGACGGCACCACAAACAATAGTCAAGAGAAATGTGGTAGATAGTATAAACGAGACAACTCGGAAAAGTTGTATCTGTATCCATCTCGGCCATGTTAGAGGACCGTATATCGGTAATGGCGGAAACTGCGCGTTAGTCCGAGCGGGGACTCGTTCGATAGAGTTGGTTCGGCGCTTCAATGATGTGATTTCTGCATCAGTTTCGATATCGTCAAGCGCGGCCGGGTCGCAGGGCAGTCGGAGGCCTGATGATGTCTCGAGTACCTTTTCGTTTCCAGCGACGACTTTGGCGGTTAAGCCGACATCTGCGAGGTCTGCCTTTGACACGAGTGGGAGTCCTGTTGTTTCCACAGACGGCTGTATGCGTAACTGTGTTGTCGAGCTTGTGCTACCATCGTGTGCCACCATGTTGGTAGCGAGGCGGAGACGTCACCTGCAGGGCGTCGTGCCGACGTCTCTTGTACTCCTAAACGATCATGACATACAAAATTGGATGTGGAAGTGAAGTTATGTAAATTGGCTATCCCATGGATGCTCAATGGCATTTTCCAGATATAATGCAGGAGATACACACAAGCCAATTTCTTGACGTGCATCTAAATGCTTGAATGCATATAAACAGGACTGTTCATTTTTGCAAATTTGACCTGGCAATGACCATAGTATCAATTATTTTGACGTTAACGAGAATTATTACGTTTAACACTGTGGCGCATGCATTTCCCTGCCCATCAACGGACATTCTTGTTTATCTGCAAGCAAATCTACCACTAGCAACAATTTCTGCAGTCGATCGTCGAATGCCATCATCTCGCCACTCGCGATCATCGAATCAAATGCGGAGATCTCGAACATCCTTTAAAAAAAATCATGGTCCTATCAACTAAACTAGCAGCTTTCTTAATTCAGGTACGTACGTGCAATATGCAATGCAATGCAAAGCTTCCACGTTCTTGGTCCGTTAGTGGCAATCCAGGCTCGCTGAATGAGGCGCCGTTTCCCGTCGCGAGATACGGCGTGTGATGTCATTGGATCTCTTTAACCGGAAACCCGAACGCCGTACGCCGTGAGACGGCGCCGCTGACATAAAGTATCATGTATGCAAGATCAACAGCATGTATGAAATCGGAACGACAGTCTGACTCTGGGAAAATTCAGATTTCGAGCAAGTCTATGCGACAGGATTCGATTTTACCTATAGCGACTGATTGTTATATCTTGGTAATGCGGCAGGAATAACCGCCGCAACGCAGATATTGTAGCGTTGCGTGTGACCTGGGGTCGTGCCCGCTTGGGGGTAGGATAATTTCATCTAGATACTACAATCCCGGCGATCGAAAAGATGGAACGGATATCCTCGTGGTGTTACAATCGTAGGCTAAAACATATAGAACTGTTCTGAGACTTGGCAGGGAACCCCGTGTGTTGGAAATAGATGAGGAAAATTAATCTGGAAGGAGCGGGTGGTAGGGAGACGGTAGACGTCCCACCATGTATTCATCGGCGACTAATTAATTGTCAGCATCTTGGGTGTCTGAATAAACCCTGCACCGCGTCTTGACTGTCAGGAACTCAGAATGGACAATCTAGATTTGCTTAGAAACGCGTGTACAGCCGGAATTTGTGACCAATCAACCGTTTCGTGATAGCCGGCCTCGAGTCATAACTATGTTTCTAGGCAGAAAGGCTCCCAGCTACTATATATATTGAGGATGCTGTTATAATTCGCGTGCAGAGATCAAGCATTTCACTATATTCTAAGCTTTTATACAAAGCTATAATAGCGGGTCTATATTCTCCAACGATCTCTAGATCCAAGCGATTGTCTGAACATCTCGTAGGAGCTTTAGTTTGGAGAAATAGATATATCAATTATAAGTTCCTTTGTCCATCGGATTAAGGTATCTGTGAAACTGGGTGTATAGAGCTGATATAACCTGGCGCCGTTTTACATCTGTATAGAGTTTTCAGAATTTAGCTTGAAGTTGTCTTTGCAACCCCGAACCCGATCTACGACACCATGTCATGTGAAACTAACGGGAAGAAAAGATAGTATCTTTATACGACATCAATCGACCTTGATCGTGAGGGTAATTCCCAAATCTTTCACAATTAATTGTTGAGTCCTCGGTTATATGGTAGTCCCGAGGCCACAACCACATTCCGGCAAAAGTTTAACAAGGGTCGACCAACCGTCGTCTACCGACCCTGGTCAAAAAGGAAGTTTCCTAAGCAAAAAGCTAAGCTGATGCGGTTTGTGTGGATCGAACACACGACCTTCAGATTTAATGATTGAAGTGGACTTCAGTCTGACGCTCTCCCAACTGAGCTAAACCCGCTGAGACATCGATTCGGTGGGAAAAAGCCATTGTGAAGCTATGTCGAATTCTGACGCAACGCATTTACTTGGGCGATATTAAATTTGTGGAAGATGGATTCAACGAATTCATGAAATTGGATCAACAGACAACTTGAGCATTATGCATAAGGCGCGGTCTGGCCTACAAGAACGATTTGATTCAAATCAGAATAATCAAATATCTGTATATATGTCGATGTATGTATATATATACTCAGCTCCAAACCAAGGATATCAAATATCAAATCCCAAACCTCTCAACCGCCAGAACGACCCGCTCCATAAACTTTTCACGCGACATCCCACGCCGATGCTCGAGCGACTCGTAAAAAAACCGCTCAGGCTTCAAACTTGGCGAACGAACCATCCTCACCCCCCTCTCCTCCATCGCACGTCTCGCCTTGCCGATGCAGACCATGGTATTCACATGGTCCATGCCCATAACCCGTTCATAGAATGGTATCAGCACCCGCTGGTACTCAATCACGCGCAGCCATTCCCTCCGGATCTCGTGTCCGTGAGATATACTCGCCACAAAGCTGGCGACGGGTAGCATATGTTGCACCGCCCAGAAATCATGCGTCAAGATGTCTGGTAGCACTGAGTGCATGAGCTCCAATGCCGTATTAACCATTCCAACTTCACACATCGCATCACTCAGCTTCGATGTCGCTAGTATAAAGTCGTCCAGATCGCGAAATGAACTAGGGACCGACAACAGCAGACCTACAGCGACGGGTATCACCTTGGCACAACGCTTCACATCGACCTTTGACAGCGCCTTGACCATATTGGCGACACCATAGAGGCCTATGAGGCTGGTATTCTGGAACTGCTCGCGAACGACACGGTAGTATGTGACGCTTCTGCGAAGGGCCATCTTGTACCGTTTGGGGCTGCGATCTTGCCAAGTTGGCCAATCCATTTTGTCGTCGAGGCCTTCGAATGCGAGGCAACAGCGTCCTATGCCGATATCGGCGAGGCCCTGATATGCAATGTTCTGCAATCGGATGCCGTCCTTTGCCCGGCGGAGTTTTTCCCATATAGGGGAGGCTCCAAGTATAGATATTGCAGAGAGTGTGAAGATATGTTTGAGACCGAACCTCTTCCTGAGGAATGGCAGGTAGTAGATTTGCGCTTGCTGCTGGCTGGTCAGAAGCGTCCAGTCTTTATCGGCTGTCTCTGTCATGTGTTCGATCAGGGTCTTGTACATCTTCAGGATCCAGGTCCAGAGATTTTTGCCTGCAGAGTCGGAACCTGCTGATTCCAAATCCGTGTTTTTGAACGACTGGATGGCTGCACAGGCAGGCGCGGGTAATGGCTCGAATACGACTGTTCCGGTTGATACATTGCTGAACGGCTCATCTTCATCTTCGAATTTCATAGGCGGGAAGTTTGTGGCGCTGTCCGCTCGGTCTACCAGATCTTTGATCCAATCTTTTAGACTCGTGCGGTAGAGTTCTTCCATTTCTGAAGATCCGAATTCAACTAGTCCTGGCTCCCCGTAATTTGATTCGATCTTCAACAATCTCGCAGTCTTAGTTTTCCGTTCGGCAGAATGATCGGATACCGGAGGACGGGGTGCAATTGGTGTCTCAGTGTCCTCTTTCTTGATCTTGACGTCCTGATCATCAGATAGAGTGAGACCTCCCAAAATATCCGCGACATCTTCCTCCTCATTCTTGATCTCAAGGCTCTCCACAAGATTTTCTTCTTCCTCTTCTTCTTGCTTGATCGGTCGGGGAGCATAACTAGCGGGCTTAGGACTTGGTCTTGGAGACATAGTTGCACCTGGTGCTGGCGCCACGGTGCTGGTCCGATTGACTTGCACTCTGTTAACCGCAGGCCGTAGATTTCCCACGATCGTCCCGTAGATACGGGGTGGAATATACGATGACCGTTGTGATGACACGTAGTCATCTTCTGGTTCCTCTTCATCCCACGCCATGTCCTCTTCCGATTCTGTAATTGTGAGTACTGGAGGTGCTGCACCAGCAGGTCGTGGAGCGTCGAGGAAGTCAGCACGGCGTCTAGAAACCCTGACTCTATCGTAGGCGGTACAATCTTTAATCGGATGTTGTATTTCAGCAAGCGTATTGTCGAACGTTGAGTCTGAGAACAGAGCTCCGGCATCTTCGTCGGTATCCCGACGCCTCGCACGCCACGGCCGCGGTGGCGGTGGTGGCGCCGGAGTCGGTCCGCTAAAGAATTCTGGCTGTGGGTATCGTTGCAGCGATGGTGGCGGTATTGGTGGTGGTGGTGGTGGTGGTGGCGGCGGCGGCAATCTTGATTGCATTGGTTGTAGGGCACCTGAAGGATACTGTGGCGGCCGTGCTGATACCCTTTTGGACTTATTATCAAACTGAGTTGGCATTTGTGGGGGATAGTTATTTGGCATCTGTGGGGGCGGTGGGGGTGGTGGTGGTGGTGGTGGCGACGGTGCGTTATAACGGTATCCTGTATCCGCAAACAAGTCGACGAAGTCTTCAGTTCGTAGATGAGGGACGTAGGCAAAGCTTTGGGGCGCCATAACTGGAGGTGGCTCAGAAACCTGGAAGAGCGACATCGGAGCCAACGGTTCATATATAGGAAATGAAGGCTGTCCTGTAGGGGAATAGCCGTAGTCTATACTCTCGGTTGCCATCGAGAATTGATCATAAGGCTGATGAACGTTTCCCAGGCCATAGACTGGTGGCGTATGTCCTGACCCTGTGGAACTGCGGTCTCGCTGTGCGCGAGCTCTGCGCGCCTCTTCTTCCAGGAACATATCGATCTCTAGAGGTTCTGGAGTAGAGGACTCCCCTCCTCTACCTAGAATAACAGTCGGTTGATCCGGTGACCGTGCACGCGGTCGTTTGTATGGGCCCTTCCCACCCGCGAAGTCTTCCGGGCTGCCAGGTACGAGTCCGTCTGGGCTTGGTGGTTCGACTGGATACCCACGCAAAGGTCAGCATGAGAATCATGATCAAAGTACACGAGACGTATATTGGTGAGAAGGGATGACTGGAACTAACCGGGTACTGAGTTCCCATATCTTCGCATGATTTCCTTGACTTCAGGCAAGTCAATCAATATTTCAGAATGAGTATTATAAAACACCGTACGGTGCTTTCCAGCACGTCTGCGCTCCTTAACTGTCTGGACAATATAGTCCCGTTGCTTCCGCTTTAGGTTCCGTCTGGAATTCCATATCTGCAGGACCTTTTTCAATTGATGCATTCTATAACCGCCGCCGGATTATATTGTGTTAGCATTTGGCATTTGGTGGATATGGTGCATCGAACAGTGTAACGTTACGCAAGCGATGCGATGCATATGGTGTGCATATATGCAGGTGCAGAGCTAGATCAATAGAAGCAGCAGGGGAAGCAACCAGGATCTTCACATACTCGACCACAAAGCCTCGTTGCCTCAATGCACCGATGATATCCCTCTCCTTCATCTTTTCGTGCCGCATTTGGAGGACGAGCTCTTTGTATGGCTCCCATTCTTCGATCTTGACGTAGGCTCGCTTCCTCAGCCTCGCAGCCCTGCGGTCATCATGCTGACTTCCTTCCCGCTGACTTGGAGGCGAAGCGGGTGGCCATGGGGCATGCATGGCGGTGGTAGATACGGTGATCGGTAGATACGATCAGATTGAATCGATCGATATTGATACCAGGCTGTTTGCGTGTGTTACCGTTCAATAGTGGAGACCATCGCACCCCGGAATCAACGGCTTGTAGTATCTCGGAGCCAGGAAGATATATATAGAAGCGAAGCAACCAACACAAACCTATGCAAAGCCCCGCGGTGAGTGTACTCGAGTTGAACGACTGATGCTGTAGGAACAAGATGTATTCCAATCGGCACTGAGCGGGGTTGCCCGCTTCTACAGTCTGGTTAAAATGTACCACAGCAACCACCCGGCCGAGTCAATAAATTTACGCTGAAGACTAGTCTGTTCGTGACGGCGGTGACCAGAATTGTCGCTTGGGAACTCAACCCGGCTTAGCCTGCTCAATGAGCCGGTGCTGCCTCAAATAGCATGCGGGCGGGCGTTTGTTCGGCCAATTAAGAAGTTCAGGCGATTCGCAACGCCGTCGCCGTGTTGCAAAATCGCGTTTGAGATGCTATATTTCTTTCAAAGGCGTTCAATTGGGACTAGACATTATCGGACCAGTGATCAAACGAATGATGTTCAAATATCTCAGAAAAAGTATAAATAGAATCAGTACTACGGTGTGATGAAGTAGAGGCTATCGTAACTGAAATATCGAACAGATTAATTATATGGTATCCTGACCGCGCGCAGACCCTCGCTTTATACTCCCCCCACAGGATCGGATCCTTCGCCCTCCCGCAAAGATAACGTTAAATACAAACACCACAGCAATCCTACTGCCTGTGCGCCAAGTTTGCTTTCTCCATTTCTGATACAAAGTCTTCCCAGTAGTCCGAGTATCTACTATAATCACCCTCTCCCTTACTCGGATCGCACGTCGTCACATACACCTCCCCAACACCCTGATCGACCAGCATTTTGACAAGCTCGCTATGCTGCCTCCTACTTCCGTCGAAACTGTGCACCAGTACCGACTGTCTCCAAGTCGCAGTCCCGGGACTCATCTTCCTATCCACCGATGTGAACAGCGTATCTGGACAACTCATCGTCCTAAAGGCAGCCTCGTAAGAGACAATGCTATCCGCATACTTGTAGAATGCCGCATCAACTATCCTCCCGGGATTAGTGATTAGGTAGCCCTGCAAACCGACGGACGCGAAGGCTCTCTTGACGCCACAGAATAGTAATTCCATGTAATCCAGGTGCATCTTTCCAGTTCCAAGCTCGCCGGGAGCCTCGTCCACGAAGATCCCGCTGACGTGGATATCGACCTCTGGATGTGACGACCAGGCTGCATATCGTGCGATCTCAGAAATGACCTGTAGCGGGTCTCGCGTGCCGTAACTTGCATGAACGTAGCCGATTAACGTGACGTT